TGGAATATTGCGATATATTCAGCTCACGAGCCATTTTTCGGCCACTTCGACGCGGGTTAGTATCAAGTCGCTTCTTTACTTTTCGAACCATTTCAGCTAATGTTGCTGTTTTTTTTCGTCCAGGATCAAATCGCTACTTTACTTTTCGAACCTTTTCTGCTGATGTAAAGAAATCACACTATCACGTTTGAATTCCATCACGAATAACTTTTTTCTGGAAAATTCTCACCAAAATGCTTTTGTACGCTTGTAAACAATATAATGAACATAGAAATGACAGCAGTCTGAGGTTTGTTGCAGTTTTTTATCTCACCCTGTATTGCACATGTCCTTCATATATCAAACTCGATTTTCCCTTTGCTACATCTATCCTGCACCTCATCAGTGACTGCCATTTCATATTACAGAATTCTGGTTCATTCCGTCTGTCCAATACAATCTATTCTATGTTATCCTGCACTCCATCAGTGACTCTCATTCTAAATTTCAGAATAATAGGTTATTCCGTTCGTCCACTACCAGTCATTAATTTTTTAATACTGTTTGTACCCTTTCAGTACGTATTTCCAAAAACGCTGCTGTAACACGTCTACGCACCAAGACCGACCCTCATGCCAAATTTTAACATTAGCCGTTTTGTCTGGGCGTTGATTCTGACTGACTGCTAGTTATTTCACTACACTTTTATGTATTGGTTCGTAAATGACTATTTTATTGGGCGAATTACAAACGGAATAACAAACTTATTATTGAAAGGTATAAAAATAAAAATAATGTACGATTGCCTTACATTGCCATACTCAAAAGTTCACATTTTTTACATTCATAGGAGGATTATTTTTTACCTTTGTTCTTCATAAAGTATTCTTTTAACCTAATTTCTTTAAGTGCAGAAGATTACCATAAATCCGTATAACAAATAATCCACACATACGTTTGTATGTTAGGCAAACACTTACGGGCTTATGAAAACACACATGAATATCCTCATGTCAGATATGATTGTAGTAGTATAGAAATCCACAAAAAAAAAGAACCTGGCATATATTGACCCATATAATTGAAGAGTTTTAGATATATATATGAAAATATACCCTATTCAATAACCTAATGTATGTGTATAGAATATTTCCAATATTCATAGAAAAAGAAAAACTTCCTTGTCTATAGCAGAAAAAAAAAGGATTTTTTTTTCTATAGAAAGAATGAATGAATGAGTGTAGAATTTCTCTTTACACGGAAGATCTATATTAATATCCCAAGTAGTGAAAAGTTTGGACCCTACTAAAAGGTTCATATATATTTATCATTTAAAGATTTATGGAGTATTCGTGAAAATAACATTTCAATGAACAATTTCTGTGAAGAAAACTCTGAAATTTCCTTAAAAACTTTGATACTTTCTCAGTTAAAAAATGCTAAAACAATGCAATTAGTTTTAAAAAGTTTTTTTTCGGTTATTTTCTCCTTTCGTTCCCCGAGTTAATTGCGTATAACAAAATAAAAAAAAAAATATTAAAAAGAAAAAAAAATCAACCAGAAATTCTAACAATTTCATTTGTACAGTTCGCTGAGCACCAAAGTTCACTCGCCAAATTGGCAACAGCAGCAGGCAGGCAGGCAGGGCAATGGAAAAGAGTTCATTGTATTAGTTTTTGTATGTGTGTTCTTCTAATTCCACGTTGCAAGAAATTGCGCATGGAAATGTGGAGCAAAGTGGCGGAGTAACTTACTTATGTCATCAAATGACTTTCCATAACGTAATATAACAACAACAACAATACAAACCTCAAAAGCAAACGACAATAACGTAGCGCTGGTGTGCTGTGTTTCGGATTTGGGGATAGGGTGCTTCATACGTCTATGATGGGGTGGGCGTTGGTTGTTGCGGTTCTCAGCCATATTTCCGCCCGATTGCATTTATGACGAATGTTGCTGTTTTCTTTTTCTTCTGCTTCTGGTCGTTTGCTGTGTTGCAGTATTTCTGCTGAATGCAGCAACAACCGCAATAACAATTCCAAAGCCTTTTTTTGTATTCGATGTGCTATTACACAATTGTTTTCTTTTCATTCTTTCTTGTTTTTTATATATTTGCACATTCATTCCAACCCAACATAAGCCTCCACCATCCGCCCACCTTTGTGGAGACTCGAAAAGACTTAAAGGTGGTACCATGAATGAAATGTTATCAGAAATGCCGGAGAAAAAACAACAAAAGCCCAAACAAATGATAGATAGTCTCAAACAGGATGTAGGTGTACTCTTTTTTAATTCCGCTTTCCAGGTTGGTTGGCATGTTTGCTAAAAAAAATCCTTTTTCAAATGTATGCACATGCGATTTGAGATGGTACGGTGGCGAACAATTTGTAATACTTGAATGTTTGAAGAATAGCTTCGCCAAAATTTTAATATCCATGGCATGAAGAAAAAGGCATTTCGAATTCACGAGGAATGCAAAAATATGTTTGAATCAAACTAAAACAAGCAACTAAATTTTCAGGTAAAACAGGGTGAGATGAAATAACTGCAACCAACTTTAGACTGCTGTCATTTGTAAGCCACTCGTCCGATAGCTGTTGAAATTATTCCAGTGACAGCTCAGCGACGAAGCGACTTGATCGACACCCGCGTCGCTGTGGCCGAAAAATGGGTCGTGAGCTGAACATATCGCCATATTCCATTCGGCAAATATTGAAAAATGAGCTCGGAGTAAAGCCATTGAAATTTCAAAAAGTGCAAGAACATACACCGCAACAGAAAGAAAATAGACTCAAAAGAGTTAAGGAGTTACTTCGCTTGCCCGAGAGTGGTGAACTGCCGAATTTGGTTTTCTTCGATGAGAAAACATTCGTTGTCCAGCAGTTTGTAAACAAACAAAATGATCGTGTTTACTTGCCAAAGAGGGCAACTGAAAATGTGCACCTTCGGTTGGCCACCAGAACTCAAGCGCCGGCCATGGTGATGATGTGGGCCCCCATAAAAGCCGATTGTCGCTCTTCGCTCGTATTAATCGACCGTGGCATCAGAATAAATGCCGAATATTATCGCGAAAATATTCTGAAGGCGCGCCACCCAAGAATGGTTACAAAATGAGGTACCTCCTCGCTTCATTTCCAGTGCACAACGGCCACCAAAATCTCCGGATACCAATCCGATGAGCTATTGTGTCTGGAGTATTTTGGGAAGCAAGGTTGGCAACAAAAAATACCGCAGTGTCGATCACCTCAAGCAAGCGCTTCGTCGGGAATGGGCCATAATACCGCAGAGCAACATTCGTGTAAAGGTTTCATTGGCCGTTTGAAGGTCATTTCTTAGTAATGGTTTCTTATGTCCGTCAAGATAAATTTAAATTTAATTAGCAAAGCCACAAACCAAGGTGATTTTTTCTCCGGGTTGCAAAGGGTTAATAAAGAGAGAGAGAGAGAGAGAAAGAGAGAGGGAGTAGTAATCTTTGAAACCCTTAACTCTACTTTTAAACCGAGAATAAAATGTTTAAAAATGAAGCGGTGTCAAGGCTGGGCACAAATGAAAGGTCTCGAGCAGTTTCCCTAAAATTGAGCGATAATTCTTCAGAAAATGCAAAAAATTCCTAAGTCTGAAATTCTTTTTGACTATAAGGTCCATATATTCGGAAAGTACTCCTCGAGACCTTTCATTTGTGCCCAGCCTTGACACCGCTTCATTTTTAAATATTTTATTCTCGGTTTAAATGTAAAGTTAAGGGTTTCAAAGTTTTTCAACGTAAATTTTATTTAGGTTTTTACTTATCGATTTCAGTGTAAATTTGAAATTTGTACGGAAATTATGAAATTTGATGAAAACTAATATAATTTAATTTACCTTTAATTTTTCTCTGGTTTACTACTCCCTCTCTCTATCTCTCCCTCTCTCTCTTTCTCTCTCTCTCTCTTTATTAACCCTTTGCGAACCGGAGAAAAAATCACATTGGTTTGTGTCTTTGCTAATTAAATTTAAATTTATCTTGACGGACATTGGTTTCTTCACTAATTTATGGAAATCATAACTTAATTACCCATCAGCTCATTTGTCAATGGTATGTCACATGTCAAAAATAGTTTTTTATTGGCCACTCAAAGTCAACCAAGTCAAGCTCACCTTGACCTTTGTAATATCCCTAGATATTCGTCGTAGACCCCATAAAGTATATATATTCATATTCAGTATAATTTTGTAAGTAGATTTAACCATGTCCGTCTGCCTGTCTGTTCAGCACAACAATGTGTTTTGGGTCTAGGATGGTTGGTATTGAAACTGAGATATATCGGTTCACGTTTTCGCATATCCCCCATATAACTGTACCTCCCGATGTTCGGTATTTTGATGATTTTTACCACATTTTTCAACGGATTTTTCTTAAAATTAGTATTTGTAGTTAGTTATGGCTTCCGGTAGCAGCAATATTGAATACCTAGGTCCACGTTTTCGTGTAGCCCCATATAACGGTACCTCCCGATTTTTAATATTTGGTTGATTTTTACTACCTTTTGCCACGGAGTAACATCAAAACTATTTTATCAAAAAGTATGTGTACAAATTTGTGAATTATTTCTTAGTGGGAGTGTGGTTCCCATGAACTCCCTATGTACGTTGCTGGGCCGGGATATACGTCAATCTGATAAATTGTTTATTTATTTATTTATTTTTTTTTTTTTTGTATGTTCTTTCTAATTTGACCTTGATTACCATGACCCTAATTTGAAATTTCATTTTAAGGCAATATCAATGCTGAATTTTGTAATTAATAAATATTACTAATTTTTAAAAAATTTCAAAGAATTTTTTTTCCACCAACCCTTCTAAAAATGGGTATACCACAATATTTTTAGAATATTTATTTGCAAACTGCTTTAAATTATACTATTTATTTAAGTAATTCTATAGCATGTTTAGCAAAATATAATCCTCTTAAAAATATCTTGGTAATTTAATAATAATTCGTGTTGTTTTCATTCTCAATATTTTTGTTTCTTTCTTTACAGCTCTTCGAGTAACAATAACAACAACGTTGATGATCTGCGAAGCACAAATGAGGAATATTGAATTTTGCATGTAAGTACTGACTGAATATTGAAATGAGGAATATTGAAATTTGCATCTAAGTACTGACTGAATGTGAGAGTGACTGATTGTTTCTAGATTACAGGTCTGTGTATGTCGATATGTAACTTTCATTCAACTCACATTCCAAAAAAAAAAACCCGAATCAATTGTCATCACCATCATCATCCTTTTGCTGACCAGACCCAGGCTCTTCAGCATGGCAAGCGTCAGTGGACGCCTTTGTTTTCTCTTTAAGCCGCTTAACATGACTTAAAGTGCTTCGACCAAAAAAAGTAACTGTTATTTTAATGTCAATGACGAGTGTTGGTCGGTCGATCGGTTGGTTGGAATGCTATGTCATCCCTGCATTAAATGCAGCCTTCCTCTTCATTATTTGATGTGGTTTTGTGGTGGGTTCAATGAGCTCCGATAATGTAGCAAAACTGGAGATATCCATAAAAAAAACCAAAGCCCAATACAAAAGAGTAAGTGAGAGAAATGAGAAATTTTCAAAAAGGCTTTTGGTATTTAAGCAAACACACACACACAATTAAAATAATAAAATCCTTATTCAGGGAATGGAAATGTTTTCCTGGAAATGGATGTGTGCTTTTCCCACTTCCAATATGAATTTTTCTGTAAAATGTTGTCTCTTATTTCGAAAATAAATGCAGAAATATTTCTACATTTAAACGACCAACCAATCTATCAACCTGGCGCCCCATATCAGTTGTTGTTAATTACAACTCATGTAATTATTTGTTGTTGTTGTTGTCGATACTGTTTTCTACTTTTGTTTTCTTTTGCGTAACGACAAACAATCAAAATAATAATCATACCTTTTTCAGTTCAATAATCCGCAATGCATTTACTTTAATTTAACCAAATTCGACATGCAGACAAACTGACAGACAACCAGACCAGCAGACGACCATATAAACCGCACACACTCTAGCTTGGCGAAGAGCTTTTCAAATATGGTTATGCCAACTGCCATAAAATAGTAAGCATTGCGCCAGGAAAGGCTTGTGGCAAAACTGCAACCAACCAACGAGCCAGCCAACCAACCAACAACGTCAACAATGACTAATTGAGTGTTGCAAAAAAAAAAAAATGTCGAAAAGAAAAAACAACAACTACTAAGGAGAGTTGCATTTAAAGTTAGGTTTAGGTGGCATATTTCATCAGAGGTGATGAATTACATCAGAGCTAAGTAAAGAAGATAGGTGTGTGAAGAGAGATTTTGCTTGTTCTTCGATATATTTGTTCACACATTATACGATAATGTGTGAGTACAATTAGTACTCACATATATTTTTTGGTCATAAAAATCAAATAGATGAGTACGTATTAATAGGGCTTTCGCGGCTAACAACTACTTATTTCGTGGGAAATGCTCATTTAAAAAAAGGGTTAGTAAAATTATCTGTAATGAGTGTTTGAGCTGGGTATCAGTAAAGCCAAAATGGGCTCCATCTAAATAATAAATTCTGATATATTAAATGTATTAAATTCGTCATTCCATTTCTAATACATCGAAATAATAATTTTAGACCTAACAAAGTATTTACAGGGTGAGATAAAAAAACTGCAACAAAGTCAAACGTCACAATTTTTATTTTGGGCCATTCCCGGCAATGCGCTTGCTTGCTTGAGGTGATCGACACTTTGGTATTTTTTAGTGCTAACCTTGCATTTTGTTTGTTTACAAACTGCTGGACAACGAATGTTTTCTCATCGGAGAAAACCAAATTCGGCAGTTCACCACTTTCGGCCAAGCGAAGCAACTCTTTAGCTCTTTCGAGTCTATTTTCTTTCTGTGGCAGTGTACGTTCTTGCACTTTTTTTTATACCCTCCACCATACTATGGAGGGTATATTAATTTTGTCATTCCGTTTGTTACTCCTCGAAATACTCATGTCAGACCCAACAAAGTATATATATTCTTGATCAGCGTAAAATTCTAAGACGATTTAGCCATGTCCGTCTGTCTGTCTGTTGTAATCACGCTATCTTTCGAACAAATTGAGATAGAAGGCTAAAATTTTGCTCACATGTATATTTTGCCAGTAGGCAGGTTAAGTTCGTAAATGGGCCATGTAGGTCTAAGTTATCATATAGCCCCCATATAACTGTACCTCCCGATATTCGGTATTTTGATGATTTTAGCGACATTATTCACCAGAATTGTTTCAAATTTGGCATTTGAAGTTCGTAATGGATACTACAGCCTAAGACAGGAAATAATCTGTGTAGGTCCACGTCTTCGTATAGCCCCCATATAACGGTACCCCCCGATATTCGGTATTTTGATGATTTTAGCGACATTATTTACCGGAATCGTTTCAAAGTTGGCATTTGAAGTTCGTAATAGATCCTGCACGTCTTCGTATAGCCCCCATATACCGTACCCCCCGATATTCGGTATTTTGATGATTTTAGCGACATTATTTACCAGGATTTTTTCAAATTTCGCATGTGAAGTTCGTAATGGATACTTCAGCCCATGCCAGAAAATTGTCTGTGCAGGTCCACGTCTTCGTATAGCCCCCATATAACGGTACCCCCTATATTCGGTGTTTTGATGATTTTAGCTACATTATAAACAGATTTTTCTTCAAGTTTCGCATTAAAATATTGTAATAACTTATGACAAAAGTTGCCTATGCAGGTCCACGTCGTCGTATAGGCATTCGGTATTTTTAAGATTTTACAGAATTTTTAACGGATTTTATGTTTTTTTTTTTTTTTTGGATATTTGTCAAATTTGTACCTAATGGTGGAGGGGTATTAAAAGTTCGGCCCGGCCGAACTTACAGCTTTTTTACTTGTTGTTTATTTGCCGAATGGAATATTGCGTTATGTTCAGCTCACGAGCCATTTTTCGGCCATTTCGATGCGGGTTTCGATCAAGTCTCTTCTTTATTTTTCAAACCATTTCTGCTGATGTTGCTGTTTTCTTCCGTCCACTTCCTTGACGTCGGGCTACGCTACCTGTATCACAGTAACGAGCGAACGAGCACAGATCAGTCTTTTGTCTGCAGGCAGGTCATGTTCGAAGAGTCATATCAGTCCACGATATAGCCCCCATATAACGGTACCTCCCCATATTCGGTATTTTGATCATTTTAGCCACATCTTTCAATGGTATTATATGAACTTCTACACAAGGAGCTCCTTCCGAGTAATTTACCTCCTGGAATATAAGTGTCTATATAGGTCCATGATATCAATATCCCTCATACAACGGTATTAGGTATCGGTATCACTATACCCATATTCGGTATTTTCAAATTTCATATTTGAAGTTCGTAAGGGGTACTTCAACCTATGACGGAAAATTCTCAATGCAGATCCACGTTTTCGTATAGCCACCATATAACGATATTCGGTATTTTGATGAATTTAGCGACATTCTGAATCGGAATTGTTTCAAATTTCGTATTTAAGAATCATAATGGGTACTACAAACTATGACGGAAAATTGTCTATGCAACCCACCAACAACGGTTTTCATTTGAATTTGGTTCAAACTTGGAAAACCCTAATATTTGTTTTAGTGCTAGGTCAGGTTCGAACATGGATAACATCAGCCTAATCCTTCTATTACAAAGCCAACAAAGGATTCACATTTTGAAGAGTCCGAATATTTTTATATTTGGCACACCCCAACGTTTCTATAAACCCTAGATCTGGTATGAAGATAGGCCGAAACGGACAACAACGTCTGGGGGTGAACATTTTAAAAACCTAACACGCATAAAATGCGATTCTTTTCACACTGGACACTTTCTAATATTTCAAACACAATATCTAGGCTCATTGGAAAAGCTAAGAAAACAAAAAAACAGAAAATATGAAAATACAACTAGCTTGCCGATGCACATATACTTTGTAAACGAAATTTGATGTTCGTAATAGCCCATCGAAAAAATCGAATTACTAAATAATGTGTGTATTGATAAGTACTTACCAAACTGCCGCCAAGACCTCACGTGTACTTTACACGAATTGTATGGGCAACCTGCGAAACCTAAACATTATATTCAGGGTTTCCGACGAAGTTACTGCGATGTCCACAAAAATACTTATGGACAATTGGAAATCCTCACAAAAACCTGGAAGTTGTATGAGCAGATGATGATGATGATTATGAGGAATGTAAAGAACCTACATTCTGCTCTATCTGTTGCTTAAAAATATTGATCTATTCCAAAAAAAAAAATTAAAAAATAACTTACACTTGTCATTACTATGTAATGAGTGACTTTGCCCAATAGAGAGAGACTAAAATAATTCTTTATATGTTTTATAATACATTATAAGGTTGAGAGTTCTGTCGCAATAGCGGTCAATAGAAAAAGAGTGGAAATTGTGGTTTCTAACAATAAAAGGAAGAAATATATTTTTCTACTTTTTCTACCAGTTATTTCGGGCCACAAGTCTTGGTATAAATAATGCGTTGGTATTTTTGAATCGTAGATAGCAACAATTGCCGAAAATTGGCTGGGTGACATATTATTCTGTAATGGAAGTTTTTGCTGGGTAGGAGTTCTGTATGAGGTTTATTGTCTATGGAAAATATATAGAAGGTTTATACTCATAGAAAACAAGAGAAGATTTTCTGTTCATATAAGATCTGTATAAGGTATTGTGCCCATGGAAGACTTGTTTAAGACATATTATTCATAGTAGTCCTGTGAAGGGATTGCTGAGCATATGTCTTTTGTCCATGCAAGATCTTTTCTTCTACCTATAGAAGGGTAAGCGGTTTTAAGGAAATATATTAGGTGGTAATGAACATTTTTACTAGGATTTTTGTTGATTCCAAGGAATAGAATCCATAAAGTGTGGTGAATATTCATAAAGGTGGTAAACGGCGAATAAATATACGAAACGATGACATTACACCTGGCACATCCCGATGTTTTCACCAACATAAGGTCTGGTGTGATATCGGCCCACTTCGTACTCTCTCCTAAATGGACAAATGTAAGTTCGAAACATAT